TTTTTTTTTTTTTTTTTTTTTTTTTTTTTTTTTATTTTAGTGTCGCTAAACTCGGTGAGCCGAGTGCTCTTAAAAGCAGTTGGGTCAGTTTTTTGTTTGTTGCTCGATTTTGCTTCACTTGGATTTTCAGGAAAATGATTTCTTAGAACAACAAAGGAGAGAACAAAGTTATATGGTTATGAGAGTTCAGATTGCCCATAAGCTTAAAGTGTTACAGCTGGAGAAAACTTTTCAACAACAAAAGCAAGGTGTTCTTAGGTGAGCAGCTTTTTGTGTATATATTGCAACCTTGATTTCTTTTGGAGGAGGATTTCGAAGTTGTTAGTTTTTTGTTTGTTGTCTTTTTTCAAAGATGACTGTAAAAGTTTTACTGTTTTCATTTAGATCTCGTGAAGCTGCTATTTGGGATTTAGAAGAAAGGCAGTTGGAGGAGAGGCATGCGCTCTATAAACAAGAATTGAAGGACCGTTTCTTTCTTCAGCGAAGTCAGATGTTAGCTCGTCATCAACGGGTATGATGGTGTCATTTATATGAATTTATTCTAAATTGCGACCTGTCCTTGCAATTTTTTCCTTCTAGGATCTAGAACATATGCGCAAGGTTAACGAAATGAATGAAGAAGAGGCAATTCGCAGTTATGCTATTTACAAAAAGAAGCTTCCAAAAGACTTTAGAACAGAGTCTAAAACGCGGATAGCGATGTTCAAAGAAAGTTTGCGTATCAGTTGTCAGGTGAGCGCACGTTTACGGAAATCAGATTCTCAGAGAGGAAGGTTTATGGTAGTGTACACCATATTATTGCTATTTGTTTCTTGCTTTAGGGCGACGACATAAACACGATAAATGAGAAATTGCGAGCGTTTGAAGAGAAAGAAAAGGTTAGAGTACGAAATGCTATTGAAGATCATGAAGCAAAAGTTGCTCGTAAACTTCGGGAGTTAAAAGAGAAAAATATGATGCAGATCAAGGAGTTAGAAGAAATTCATGTAAGTTAACTGCATAAGAAATAATGTGGAAAATATGACGCTCAATTCACAGCCGTTCCAATCCATATCTGAAATACCTTTTTTTGGTCGTGATATAAAGGTTTTTTTAGAATGAGAAACGAAAAATGCTTCTCGAGGCGGAAAACAGCAAACTTGAAAAGTATGAAAAAGAATATGAGCAAGTGATTGCTGATTGGAAAGCGAATCTTCCTGTTAGAAAACAGGTGACTTTTATAGTAAAGCAGAGATGAATAAGTCATTTGGTTTAATTTGATCGAGCTCGACATCATTTAGATTAAGAGAAGAAATTCCTTTCAGCTAAGTTCATTTTTTTTATCC